GTCCACATACTGCTTAAGCCTTCCTTGTAGAATTTTAAGCATAACCTTGCTAGCATGTGAAATGAGTGCAATTGTGCGGTAGTTGGAGCATTCTTTGGCACTGCCCTTCTTTGGGATTGGGATGTAGACTGATCTTCTCCAATCCTCTGGCCACTGCTGAGTTTTCCAAATTTGCTGGCATATTGAGTGTAGCACCTTAACAGCATCATCTTTTAAAATTTTAAATAGTTCAGCTGGAATATCATCACTTCCACTGGCCTTGTTATTAGCAGTGCTTTCTAAGGCCCATTTGACTTCACTCTCCAGGATGTCTGGCTCAAGGTCAGCAACCACACTACCTGGGGTGTACGAGACATCCATATCTTTCTGGTATAATTCCTCTGTGTATTCTTGCCACCTCTTCTTGATGTCTTCTGCTTCTGTTAGGTCCTTTCCACTTTTGTTCTTTATTATGGTAATCTTTGTACGAAATGTTCCTTTCATATCTCCAATTTTCTTGAACAGATCTCTGGTTTTCCCATTCTATTGTTTTCCTCTATTTCTTTGCATTGCTCGTTTAAGAAGGCCTTCTTGTCTCTCCTTGCTATTTTTTGGAAATCTGCATTCAGTTTCCTGTATCTTTTAGTATCTCCCTCGCATTTTGCTTGCCTTCTCTCCCCCGCTATTTGTAAGGCCTCGTTGGACAGCCACTTTGCTTTCTTGCATTTCCTTTTCATTGGGATGGTTTTCGTTGCTGCCTCCTGTATAATGTTACCAGCCTAAATCCATAGTTCTTCAGGCACTCTGTCCAGAAAATCTAAATCCTTAAACCTGTTCCTCACTTCCACTGTGTATTCATAGGGGATTTGATTTAGATTGTATCTTACCGGCCCAGTGGTTTTTCCTACTTTCTTCAGTTTAAGCTTGAATTTTGCTATAAGAAGCTGATGATCTGAGCCACAGTCAGCTCCAGGTCTTGTTTTTGCTGACTGTATAGAGCTTCTCCAGCTTTGGCTGCAAAGAATATAATCAATCTGATTTCGATGCTGCCCATCTGGTGATGTCCATGTGTAGAGTCGTCTCTTGTGTTGTTGGAAAAGAGTGTTTGTGATGACCAGCTTGTTCTCTTGGCAGAACTCTATTAGCCTTTGCCCTGCTTCATTTTGAACACCAAGGCCAAACTTGCCAGTTGTTCTTTTTATCTCTTGATTCCCTACTTTAGCATTCCAATCCCCTATAATGAGAAGAACATCCTTTTTTGGTGTCATTTCTAGAAGGTGTTGTAAGTCTTCATAGAATTTGTCAATTTCAGTTTGACTATGAGGGCCACTCCATTTCTTTTACGGGATTCTTGCCCACTGTCAGGGAACTGCCATCAGCTCAGAGGCAAGAGGTGGAAGGGCAGTTAGGTTACAGGGAGCCTCCAAAGACCGTGAGAAGCAGCACTACCTCTGCAGAGGAGGGAAGCCACGCCTCCAGTGGGGAAGGGGTGCAGGGCTTGGATGATGCAAGGGAGAGACACAGCACCGGCATTAACAAAGCGGGGGGGGAGGCAGGTCCCCCTCTGCCCACGCCATCTTTGCACAGTTGGTTTACACGCAGAGAGGGGAGGCGTGGGGTGTGTGTCAAAAGACTACTCTGCTGGGGAAAGTTTAAGGACCGCCCACTCCCAGATTCTGCTAGTGAGTGAGCAGACATGGAATTGAGTTGATCTTCATTGTGAACGTTTTGGAGAGATAATAAAGCCTTGAAAATACCAACGGGGAGTCTTGCCTGTTTGCTCTCGAGCAACCACGCCGGCATACATAACACCCACAGTAGTAGATATGATGGTCATCTGAACTGAATTCGCCCATTCCTGTCCATTTTAGTTCACTGATGCCCAGGATGTCAATATTTATTCTTGCCATCTCATTTTTGATGACATCCAACTTACCCAGGTTCATGGTTCTTACATTCCAGGTTCCTATGCTATTTTTTTCTTTACAGCATTGGACTTTCCTTTCGCTTCCAGGCATATCCGCATGCTTTCGGCTTTGGCCCAGCCACTTCATCAGCTCTGAATCTACTTGTACTTGTCCTCTGCTCTTCCTCAGTAGCATGTTGGACGTCTTCTGACCTGAGGGGCTCATCTTCCAGCGTCATAACTTTTCTATGCCTGTTGTCTTTGTTCATGGAGTTTTCTTGGCAAGGGATTACCGTATTTTTTGCTCTATAAGACTCACTTTTTCCCTCCTAAAAAGTAAGGCGAAATGTGTGTGTGTGTTATGGAGTGAATGCAGGCTGTGCAGCTATCCCAGAAGCCAGAACAGCAAGAGGGATTGCTGCTTTCACTGCGCAGCGATCCCTCTTGCTGTTCTGGCTTCTGAGATTCAGAATATTTTTTTTCTTGTTGTCCTCCTCCAAAAACTAGGTGTGTCTTGTGGTCTGGTGCGTCTTATAGAGCGAAAAAAACAATATATAGCAATATCTGAAATTTCATGCATATCAGTTAATATCTTGACCCTGCTCCACAAAAATAGCTGTTTAGTTGGCCGTTTTCCTATGTTGTGAAGTCTGAAATTTCAATTCAGTGGAGCAAGGTCAAGATATTAACTGATATGCATGAAATTTTTAAAAAAGAAAAGAAAAAAGGGTAAATCTCTAGTCCTCCTAGAAAGAAAGTTGTGAAGCAAATGTGCAGGTACCATTCTAAGCAATTTACATATGTGAAATGAGCTCCCATCTGTCAGTGTTTTTAGCCAAAGGGCAAAGTCAGAGCTGTGATTGATAAGTAAGCTATTTGGACACCAAGCATTAGGAATCCCTTGCATCCTAAAGAGTTGCTCTTTTCTCCTCCCACTTTAGTTCACTTTTCCAGCTTAAGTCTTATTTTCCAGTCCTTGAAATCTCCATAGCTTGCCTTTTGTTTTCCCCTCTAATTTATGCCATGTCCCCCATGGCAATCATGTTATGACTAGCAGCCACAGCACTCTCTCAAAAATCGAAATGTGCCCACTGGTCCAAAAAAGTTGGCAATCCCTTGCCTAAAGGATGTATCCTATAGCAAATGAAGCTGCTTATAGCTACAAGAGTCAAGCTTGTAACTGGCTATCCTCTTGTTATTGTCTCTGCTATTAATATTTCCTGGGTATATCTAAGAGAGATCTTATTTGCAGAATGCAATGCAACACAACTGATTTCCAGATAATAAGACTGTGCAATAGTGACTGACAAATAACATGTATGTATATTGTGGATCATCACCTTGTCGTGGCGAGTGGGCTTGCATGTTTCTATGACCCTTGTGAGCGAAGCCGTCGGGAATCTCGTACTCCCAGCAGGGTCACCCAAGGCAGTAAGGTCAAAGGGAAGGAGATAGACAAAGAATGATCCAAGAAGTCCTCAACGGCAGAACAGGCGGATGATAACAAGCGGTATGTTACAACGGCTGTGAAGGCGGATGAAGGCTGCAGCAGATAGGAATCTACCAGTTTGTCGTGACTACCTCATGCCATCGGAACAGAGCCCTACTGCGAAGACTGTGTGTTGGTCAGCATGCACTTGGAATATTCCGTTCCACCTTAAGTATAGGCATGATTGTTGTGTGTCACCTGCCTGTTTACACTCCAGCACAGCTTGCTGGGAACTTCTGTTTGTGTATAGCTTTTGCTTATGCTGTCTTGCTTTGGACACAAAGGAGAGCAGACATGTTTCCTTTTTGTCCTGAAGTACTCTGAATAAAACTGCTTGCAAATATGCTCACATATGCCTCTCCTGCCACTTCTGTTGCGCAGTGTTTTACTCTGCTGAGTGTGCGTGCCCAGCTTCTGAAGGCTTCTGAAGCTTGGGTCACAGTTTCATGCTGATCCAAGGACTGGAGATCGCCCAGCACACCAGCTTGTGGGCTGGAGCCGCTGGGCGCCTGCCAATTGCCCCTGATTCCTTGGCTGCATCCCAACACTCCACACATAAAACAAATTCATGCACAGGCATCTTCCAAAAACCCAACCCAAACCCCCAAAGTGCCATGGCAATTGGCAAATGGTAACGGGGGCAGGATCGTGAAATCTGGAAGCCCCTAGTCATGAACTGGCACATGGGCGGTGGATACAGATTCAGTCATTCTGACTCAAGGAATGAGGCAGTTGAGTAGCTCAGCAGCTGTATCCATGACTGAGCAGTCCTATTTAGGATCCACTCTGCTCACCCCGAAAAGGGGAAGGGGCTAGAAAAGGTGCCCAAAATATAGTTTGCCTCCCTTTTTCCCTGACTGGATTACCGCACCCAGTGGGGTCACCACCTAGCGGTTGTAAAAGACAATTGAATTTTGGAACATGGAATATATGGACTTTGTCAGATAACACAGACAGTGAGCATCCTGAACGCAGAACTGCCATCATTGCAAGAGAGCTGTGACGTTTTAACATCACTATTGCAGCGCTTCAAGACTCTCGAAGAGCAGGCGAGGGACAACTGAAGGAAGAAAAAGGAGGCTACACAGTCTTCTGGAAAGGTCTATCTGAACAAGAACATCAAATACATGGGGTAGGCTTCGCTATAAAAATGACCTTGTGAAGCTCCTGTCAGAAGTCCCTACTGGCATTAATGAGCGGCTCTCAACCCTTCGAATAAAGCTCACCCAAAACCAACAGGCTACTATTGTAAGCGCTTATGCACCAACACTGGATGCCGATGAAGACATGAAAGAAAAATTTTACTCTCAGTTGGATACCGTCCTATCAGAGACACCTAAGAAAGATAAAATTATCCTCCTGGGTGATTTTAATGCAAGAGCTGGGCGAGATTTTAATCTGTGGCCTAGGACTATTGGGAAAGAAAGAGTTGGCAACAGCAACCAGAACGGAATCTTGCTCTTGACAATATGTGCAGCGCACAACCTTGTTATTACCAACACACTCTTTTGACAGAAAAATAAATTTAAAATTTCATGGAGGCATCCTCGGTCAAACCATTGGCACCTCTTACACTATGTTCTTGTCCGTGCTAAAGATCAACGTGATGTGCTCCTTACCAGAGCTATGACGAGCGCCGACGACTGCTGGACAGATCACCAACTAATACGCTCCACGATGGCTATCAAGATTATACCTCAACGCAGGCTTCAGGGAAGAAAACCAAGGCGCAAAATGAACACTCAAGCCCTTCAAGATCCCATTAAGCGGGATTGCTTCCAAACGACTCTTAAGGACCATCTGCTTTCAGAATTCCCTGATAACATCGAGGAACACTGGACCAAGCTAAAAACATCCATCATTGCAGTCTGTGAACAAACTATTGGATACCAAACCAGGAAACACCAGGACTGGTTTGATGAGAATGACAGTGAGATTGAACGCATGATTGACAAGAAAAGGAAGGCATTTCAGATCTCGCAAAGAGATAGAAACTGTGCCACTAAGAAAAAAACCTATGCCAACGCTAAGGCTGAGGTTCAAAGAAGAACCAGAGAACTAAAAAACACCTGGTGGATAAAAAAAGCTCAAGAGATCCAGCACTTAGCCGACACTCATGATGCACAGAGTTTGTTTAAAGCCGCAAAGTCCATCTATGGGCCAATAAATCATGGCATATGTTCCCTACTTTCAGCAGACGGTATCAAATTTCTAAAATATAAATAAGCTATTGCACTGCGCTGGAAAGAACATTACCAACATCTCCTTAACCGCAACTCCCCCGTAGCTGCTGAGGTCCTCTCACAAATTCCACAAAAACAAGTTAGAGATGAGCTTGCAGTATCTCCAAATCTGGGAGAGTTGTGTACAGCTATTAACCAAATGAAAAACAACAAAGCCAGTGGACCTGGCAACTACTCTATTCCAAACTTAAAAATGGAAAGCGTAATGCTGGTGGTCAACGAAAAAGGTTTAAAGACTGTCTCAAGGCAAATATAAAAAAAAAATGTAGTAGAAACACTGACAACTGGGAAACACTGGCCTGTGAGCGCTCCAGTTGGAGAACAGCCTTTACCAAAGGTGTCATGGGCTTTGAAGACGCTCGAACTCAGGACGATAGGGAGAAATGTGCTAAGAGGAAGGCATGCTTGGCAAACCCTCACTGTGATCAACTCCCACCCGGAAACCAATGTACCCACTGTGGAAGGATGTGTGCATCCAGAATTGGCCTCCACAGTCACTTACGAACTCATTGTTAAAACCGTGTTTATGGAAGACAATCTTACTCGGCTACGAGTGATTGCCAAAGAAGAGAGTAAGATAAGACCTTTGGAGCAGGCATTTTTTAAAAAAAATGTTTTTTTATGAACTGCCCTACTGATATACACAACACTATCAAACCTATAGTTAGGTAAATCCAACTAAGAAGCCCAAAACATTCTTCTGCAGAAAGAAACTAGATTTATTTCCCTGCTCGATTCTTTGCATCCCTCATGTTTAAATACAGAAATAGATTATAGTTGTTTTTTTATGAGTCATCATTAATATCTTGATATACAATGGATAACCTTAAAAATCTATGTTGAATATGGTGGTTTCAAAGGGGTCACTTTAAGATAGGCATCCCCAACCTTCGGCCCTCCAGATGTTTTCGACTACAATTCCCATCATCCCTGACCACTAGTCCTGTTAGCTAGGGATCATGGGAGTTGTAGGCCAAAACATCTAGAAGGACAAAAGTTGGGGATGCCTGCTTTAAGAGGTAAAAAAATGCCTGCTTTTTAAGAGAGAAACAAACTTTGCTGTAGGTTGCTGCCACCTGTAACTAGAATTAACGCGGTGTCTCTCTACAAAATGAAACATGGGACTACTGGCTGTTTACTGCGGAATCTGCCATGTCACTTGTCCCATGTCTCTGATACAGAAAATATGGTATGTAGATCCGTTGTTCAATATGTGTGTTATATGTTTTATTTCCTAATTTGTTAAAAAAAACTACAGGCAGCCCTGTTTAGGGAAGCTTTTAATGTTTGATGGACTATTGCATTCTAATATTTTATTGGGCGGGGTAGAAATAATAAATTATTTATTTATTTATTTATTTATTTAGAGTATGCATGGCTGACAAAGCCCGGCAGGGTGAAACAAGGTATTATTCTGGGAATCCTTGTCTTAAGTTCTTTCATCTGGTACCTGCATACAATAACTTTACTTTGCAAAGGCATATGTGAAACATTACAAAGAACAACTTCATTTTCTGCAAGTACCACTTCCTAAAGTTGTTGCGTCTGACACTTGTATTCATAAATACATATGTGAAACACAAAAAAGCTTCTATTTGGACATTACGTAAGTATATAAGAACTGATCTATTTGTATTTCCTGTTCAAAATGTTGGTCTTTAATTGCTTCTGCTTAATTTGATAATGTGAAAAGAGTTATGTTTATATGATGTATAAAGAATTATCATAGTTAAACACAGCCAGGAACTGATATACACACGAATAAATTTGCTTTATATCCCGTTGGGCAGATGGCCTTCTCGGTAGTGGCACCCGCCCTGTGGAACTCCCTCCCGTTAGATGTCAAAGGAATAAACAACTACCTGACATTTAGAAGACATCTGAAGGCAGCCCTCTTTAGGGAAGTTTTGAATGACTGATGTTTTAATGTATTTCTAACCTTCCGTTGGAAGCCGTCTATTATGGCTGGGAAATAATAAATTATTATTATTATTATCTAGTTCAGAACAAGAGTCCTGTTCCCTCCTGCGATTTCCAGCAGATGGTGCTCAGAAACATTACTGCCTCCAGCCCTGCATTTTGTTATTTGTGCATCCAGACTAAACCAATTCTGGGCTTCGGCCTTTTAATGTTTCCTTCAGAGCACTTCGTTGAACTCGCGCAAAATAAGTTGCTCTCCATCAAGGTGAAAGCTCCATTTGCCCAAACCGTGGCTATGCATGGTGAGTAAGCGTTGTGTTTTCTGAAGCGTTTCCTCAACCTAAGCGCTCTGGCCATAAAAATGAAGTGGCTGGGAGGACGGATGGAAGGTGGCATTCTCATATTTCCTCCTGTCACTCAACGCTGCTTAAAAAGGGCCTGGGCATGGATGAACTATTAGTCACAATCACCAAATAGAGAAATTCGGCTGCAGTCAACAGCAAGCAAAGAAAGGCATTGGAACCTCACTTCTGTATAATGTTTCATACTGAATCGGCATATAAATTCCTTAACGGGGAGGCAGCCCAGCGAAAGGGCCAAGAGCAGGCTTCCTCAGCCTCGACCCTCCAAATGTTTTTGGCCTGTTTTTGAAGGACCAGCTGCGCAGCCTGGGGGTCATTTTGGACCCATGGGGGCACAGGTCCATTTTGTGTCCAGAGCAGCTCCATCTGGGACGCAAGTGGAGACCCACCCACTGTCTGGCCAGAGTGGTCAGGATCCAACCTCAACCCGTTCACCGCCATCCATCCTCCAACTGTCCCAAATGGTCCTTTCCATAGAGGCCATAATACATGGCCCTTAGTTCTCAATCCATATACATAACTTCTGATCCTATGGGTAACATAATATTAACCTTTTTTTGCTTCTTCTTCTACTTCAGGCTTCCTCAACCTCGGCCCTCCAGATGTTTTTTGGCCTACAACTCCCATGATCCCTAGCTAGCAGGACCAGTGGTCAGGGATGATGGGAATTGAAGTCTCAAAACATTTGGAGGGCTGAGGTTGAGGAAACCTGTTCTACTTTATCAGCAATTTCCCATTTTAGCCTAATCTCTTGTCTTGTTTCCTCTCTTCTCTCCTTTTTGGCTTTGCGCGTTCATTTATCCCTGATTTTGCTGCTGTGACTGTGCCTGGGTATAAGCTACTTTGAAAGGAAGCAGGGCACATTTGGGATACCAGCTGTAATGATAATTTGCAGCACCTAAAATTTGCAAACGCCTCTGATATTGAGAAACAAGGAAGCAAGTTGAATGCCTTGGGACACAGTTTCAGGTATTAAGATTGCAAAGAGGTATAGTTTATATAGTTAGTTTATATAATTTATACAGTTAGTTCATGGGTAGGCACACTAAGCCCCGGGGGCGGAATCCGGCCCAGTCGCCTTCTCAATCTGGCCTGTGGACAGTCCAGGAATCAGCGTGTTTTGACATGAGTAGAATGTGTGCTTTTATTTAAAATGCATCTCTGGGTGATTTGTGGGGCCTGCCTGGTGTTTTGACATTAGTAGAATGTGTGCCCTTTTATTGAAAATGCATCTCTGGGTTATTTGTGGGGCATAGGAGTTCGTTCCTTATTTTTTTCAAAATCTAGTCTGGCCCCCCGCAAGGTCTGAGGAATAGTGGAGTGGTCCCCAGCTGAAAAAGTTTGCTGACCCCTGAGTTAGTTTACATAGGTTACATTTGTTGGAAGCAGGACTCTCAGAAAGAGTCCCATTCTGTGAATAAAACAGTATTTAAACAGCATTCAAAATGCTCTACAAAAGAAATCAAACCATAAATGTTTCATTTCCCAATATAACACAACCGCCTACGGGCACTCACATTAGCTCAGCAGCGAAGTTGCCTGAACCATTATTATTATTATTATTATTATTATTATTATTATTATTATTTATCATTTCTGCCCCGTCCATCTGGCTGGCTCTCCCCAGCCGCTCCAAGCTGCATCCAACAAAAAATTTAAAAGACAGCTGTTCAAAACTTTCCGAAATTATGCACCCCCACCGAGAGGGCTCAGATTCCTAAAGGGGCTACTCAGCGTTTTGCACGTTTTCGGAGACTGAAGTAGCTGGGCAGGTATTTATATCCTGTTGGTGGTGCCCTATTCTTCTCCCCTGAGATCACCTAAAATGGTAAGATGTTTTCTGTGGTATGACGGCCACCAGTCTGGGGCAAAGGGGTGTGGACATCTCCTGGTGGCCCCCGCCCCCATATTAATAGCCTCCCTGAACTCTCAAACTGAGACATGCTCTTTATCAGCTGAGCTCCTAAAGTAGGGCTGGTTGGGAATTGGTCCTCGCTGAAGGATGGCTTATCACAGGCACGCAGGTAACCCTCCTCTGCGCCCCAAATATATATATATGACTTTTCATTGCCTTTTGTGCTTTGGGCAAGAGTTCGGGCTGGCTTGCTTGCTCTTTCAACAGGATTTCGCTGTGCTGGAAATTCTTCATTTGAGCTGGAGGGGCTTTCCAGGAAATAAGGGGACCCTCTGTGCGATGATATTCCTTCCAGGGAAGGTAGGAGTGGGCAGTAGGGCAGTTCAAAAAAACCTCTTTTTTGAAAATGCCTGCTCCAAAGGTCTTATCTTGCTACACTAGGGATTATATAACTGTATCTGAAATTTCATGCATATCAGTTAATATCATGACCCTCCTCCATGAAAATAGCTGTTTACTTGGCCATTTTCCTATGCTGTGGAGGCTGAAATTTCAATTCAGCGGAGCAGGGTCAAGATATTAACCGATATACATGAAATTTCAGAGATAGCTATATAATCCCTAGTGTAGTAAGAGAAGACCTTTGGAGCAGGCATTTTTTTTAAAAAAAGTTTTTTATGAACTGCCCTAGTAGGCAGAGGTTCTGCTTCTTCCAGTATACTGGCATTAGTTCGCCTGTCTTCCCAAGTGAAGTGTCAAATTTTCGGGAGACCCCGTTAACAAAATCTTTCGAGGAGTTGGACGTGGCGTTGATAAGTAAGTATAAGAGCTGGTAAAGGGCAATTAAGCAGGCCTATCACTAACTTCAAATGCAGCTCATGGACTGGGCTCTAAACAACTGCCAGATCCTTTTTGCAGGAGACAGGACAGAGAGAAGCTTCCGGGACAGCCTTGTCCCTGCTTAGACTCTCCACTAAACTCCTTAGCCGTCATTCTTTTAAATTTTGTTGTCGTTTAGTCATGTCCAACTCTTTGTGACCCCATGGACCAGAGCACGCCAGGCACTCCTGTCTTCCACTGCCTCCCGCAGTTTGGTCAAACTCATGTTCGTAGCTTCGATAACACTGTCCCACCATCTCGTCCTCTGTCGTCCCCTTCTCCTTGTGCCCTCCATCTTTCCCAACATCAGGGTTTTTCCCAGGGAGTCTTCTCTTCTCATGAGGTGGCCAAAGTCTTGGAGCCTCAGCTTCAGGATCTGTCCTTCCAGTGAGCACTCAGGGCTGATTTCCTTCAGAATGGAGAGGTTTGATCTTCTTGCAGTCCATGGGACTCTCAAGAGTCTCCTCCAGCACCATAATTCAAAAGCATCAATTCTTCAGCGATCAGCCTTCTTTATAGTCCAGCTCTCACTTCCATACATCACTACTGGGAAAACCATGACTTTAACTATACGGACCTTTGTTGGCAAGGTGATGTCTCTGCTTTTTAAGATGCTGTCTAGGTTTGTCATTGCTTTTCTCCCAAGAAGCAGGTGTCTCTTAATTTCGTGACTGCTGTCACCATCTGCAGTGATCATTTATATCATTTAGGCGTAGACAAATTAGACTGCTTTACTAAAAACCCAAAGAGTGAAGTTTTGGATAGACCATTTGAGTCCAGGCGCTCTTGGGACAATCTTGCAGCACTAGGGATATTAGATCAGGGGGATTTGAGTTTAGGCGAAGCCACAAGTTAAATGTACTGTGCAAGATCCGTAATTCTACTGAAGGGAGATTGGCCTCTAGGTGCAATGATGTGTTTGGGACACAGGGTGGTACAGAAAAAAATTGCCTTAGAAACTTTGCATGCAGGAAAGCCCCAAGCTAGACCCCTGGAACCACCACTTAAAAACACCTGAAGTCACATTTGAATCAAAAACCCCCGAGACCTGCTGCCTTTATGCGTATGGAGCTCAGTGGACAAATATCCTGACCTGGTACCAAGCGGCTTCCTAGGGTGATGTTACTGGATCCATATTACAGATCAGGTAGACTGAGGCAGAGGGCGAGAGAAAGGGTGTTAACTTCTGTTACAGAAATGACTGGGGGCATATCTTTAAAGTTGTTAAATGTTACAAATATTATGCCTGAATGTATCCCTTCGACTTGACAGCTCAGGGAAGATACCTAGCTTTAAAAAATCATATAAAATCAACCCCTTTGCCAGTTTCCTCCATTCCAAAGCTATTTTGCCCTTGGAAAAAGGACTCTTTCCCCTGCCACCTCTCCAAGTGTGAAGACATGTATACACACCTCCTACCCCAGGAAATGCCCAGAGGTGACAATTGCAGGGCTCATTGTTTGCCAAGGGAAGCGAAATCTCATCGCCAGACTTGCCTCAGGCTCCAGACATGCAAAGGAAGTTTTATTGTACTTTTGGGTGGTGGGTACGTAAGACCTATTTGTCTGTGCTAATCTTGTGTAACCCTCCCCTTTCTGACGGTTTTAGTGGTGTAGCATTGACGTATAGATGATGTTGTGCAAACTGTATTCTGGGATACTGTGGGAAAGTTTTAAAAGTTAATGTCGCCCCAATGCTCGGGGTTCTTACTGCCGTTTGAACCTGTTGCACAACAATAAAGGATCAAAGTCTAACAACCGCTGTTTTGCTCCAAATTACTTGGCTGGAATTTCCTTCTTTTACTGACCGCATGGACCCACGGGGGACTCGCACCCCAACGAGCTGGGCTGTTAAGTAGTCTCTCAACCCAGAATTTTCTTTAACACGTGCTTGGGTGGGCTCACAGCTTGGCCCCTTGTCTCTATCTTCCATAAGCACTTTGGTGCTCATTCACCCTAGCTGTGCTCCTGTGCTGTAGGACTGGCGTTTGCAGTTCATGCTTCAATCCCACTTTGCCTGCTGATGGACGGATGGAGGCTGCAGAAATTGTTTCGCGTCCTTCCAGAGACATTTGACCCCCCCCCGCAAGCTATTTGCTTACCAGTTGCCCGCCCTCCCATTTGTTGAATGTGTTCTGCAAACCGTTGCCACAACGCAAAATACCGTATTTTTCGCCCCATAGGACGCACCGCCCTATAGGACGCACCTAGTTTTTTTTGGGGGGGGAATAAAGAAAAAAAATATATTTCCCCCCCAGGCACGGGGCTGGCGCAGGGGAAGCCCGAGCTGCCCCCGACCCCAGCCCCCAGAAGAGCCTGCTATCCGCAAGCCTAGGGAGCTGCGCCGGTCTCCCCAGGCTTGCGGACAGCTGTGCGAAGCCCGGGCGCGCTGAGGCTTCCTAATGCAGGCAGCTCTGTGCAACCCTCCGGAGCTTGGCGCCGGGCTCCGGAGGGTCGCACAGAGCTGCGCGGACCCCGGGAGGGCAGGCAGCTCTGCGCGACCCTCTGGAGCCCAGCGCGGCTTGATGCCGGGCTCCGGAGGGTTGCGCAGAGTTTCCTGAAGCCTGGAGAGTGAAAGCCTCTCGCTCTCCAGGCTTCAGCGAAAGCCTGTATTCGCCCCATAGGACGCACCCACATTTCCCCTTCATTTTTGGAGGGGAAAAAGTGCGCCCTATAGGGCGAAAAATACGGTACTTGGTATATAGCCAGACCAAATTCCAGGTAATTGAGTGAAAGGGCAAGCAACTCAGGAAACAATGGGGTCATGGGCCTATATTTAGATTGGAGGGAGGGTGGGTGGGAGAGAACATTGCAGAAACAAGTTAGCCATGAACACATTGGTTTTACTTGGCTGTCCCGGACCTTAGAAAGGGGTGCTCTGCGTAGCCCCCCGCTTACTTACTTCTCTTGTTCTGAGCTTGCAGGCCTGATCCTGTAGCTGTGAGAGCTTCAGACAGGAATGGCAGTCTGGCAGCCCCTGCTCCAGATCTGTTCTCTGTCTGGATCTAACGCTGTTTGAAATAAATTAAAAATTTAAAAAATTGTCCAGCAGCGCCTTAGAGACCAACTCAGTTTGTTCTGGGTCTAAGCTTTTGTGTGCAGGTGCCCTTCTTCAGATACATGGAAACCAAAGTCTGTATAAGAACTAGTATGAAAAAAGAGGTCTCCCAGCATTCTCCCAGGCCCATATAAGAACAGCATAAACAGTTGGGCCTGATGAGCGTTTACTGTTCCCAACCCTAATCCTGCGGTAAGCCATCTAACTAGGTTTTAATTTGATCCTGACTTGTTTTCAGGAGGTAATTTCATTATTGTTTGATTTTATACCAATGTTACATATTTGGTGTTAGCCGCCCTGAGCCCAGTTTCGTCCGAGGAGGGCGGGATACAAATCAAAGTTTATTATTTGTTATTATTATTACCAGGCCATGATATATAGTGGGAGGGTGGGTCAGGGTTTTTCTACGCAGGGTAGTAGAACTCAATGGGTATTATGCAGATGACCAAAATTAGCCGGGGGGGGGAAAATTGTCCAGTAGCACCTTAGAGAACAACTCAGTTTGTTCTGAGTCTAAGCTTCATGTGCAGGCCCCCTTCTTCAGATACATGGAAGCAGAAGTCACTAGACCCTTACATATACTAGGAGGGTGGAGTGGGGTATTTCTCAGAAGGGTAGTAGGAGACGGGTGATTTTATGGTTCCAGAACTGAAACCTTCCTCTGCTTGTCCAGGATTACAGACCTGCACCTCCATGATTGACACCTTCTTAATCCTTGTATTTAATGATAATAACACTTGGCTGTCATGTATTCTTCAGATACACTGAACCAGAAGTCCCCAGACCCTGATATTTAGTGGAAGGAAAAGTCACCAGACCCTGATATATAGAGGGAGGGTAGGGTTTTTCTCCGAAGGGTAGTAGGACTCAGTGGGTTTGGTCAACCTGTGGGCAACTGTGAATGACTGCAATTAGTCCTACAGGAAAAAGCAAGGGATAGTATGCAGATGGTTAGCACATGTAATGAGACAGGAATCCAATATCTCTATTCAGACCAGGTCTCTCCATCATTTTCAGTTGAGTAATAAGTTGCAATTCAGCCACTTCTCCTTCAAGTCTATTTCTGAAATTCTTTTGTCATAAGATAGCTGCTTGGAGATCCTGTATTGAATGTCCTGGGAGACGGAAGCTTTCTCCTCCTGGCTTCTCTGTCTTGTGATTCCCGATGTCGGATTGATGCCCATTTATCCTCTGGTGCTGGGTTTGGCCTGTTGGTCCAATATACAGAGCCAAAGGGCACTGCTGGCATTTGATGGCATACACCAGGCATGGCCCAAGTCCGTCTCAGGGGCCTAATCTGGCCCACAAGTCAGTTTAATTTGGCTCCTGTGGAAGTTTATTTCCTAAAAATCCTAAAAAAACTCAACAACTTTGGTCGGCCCTTTGATCACAGCCCTTCACTTCATCAAATCTGGCCCTCTTTGAAAAAAGTTTGGACACCACTGGCTACACCATGGGTAGGCAAACAAAGGCCCAGGGGCCAGATCCAGTCCAATTGCCTTCTCAGTCCGGCCTGCGAATGGTCCAGGAATCAGCGTGCTTTGACATGAGTAGAATGTGTCCTTTTATTTAAAATGCATCTCTGGGTTATTTGTGGGGCATAGGAATTCGTTCATTTCCCCCCCCCAAAAAAAACCACTAGTCCGGCCCCCCACAAGGTCTGAGGGACAGTGGACCGGCCCCCTGCGAAAAAAAATTGCTGACCCCTGGCCATATACAGTGTTTGAAGATGAGCCATGAAATAGGCCTGAGATGATGATGATGATGATGATGATGATGATGATGATGATGATAATTTATTTATACTCCGCCCATCTGGCTGGGTTTCCCCAGCCACTCTGGGCGGCTTCCAACAAAAGATTAAAATACAATAGTCCATCAAACATTAAAAGCTTCCCTAAACATTAAAAGCCTTCAGATGTCTTCTAAAAGTCTGGTAGTTGTTTTTCTCTTTGACATCTGGTGGGAGGGCGTTCCACGGGGTGGGCGCCACTACCGAGAAAGCCCTCTGCCTGGTTCCCTGTAACTTGGCTTCTTGCAGTGAGGGAACCACCAGAAGGCCCTTGGCGCTGGACCTCAGTGTCCAGGTAGAACAATGGATGGAGATGCTCCTTCAGGTATGGGATGTTTGGTGTTGTTGGGTCCAGCAATGGTGCAATCCAGGCGTGTGTGGGCAGCAAAGTTGGCACCTGGGTTTATTGTAGGCTCTGGTACCCGTGTCCATGTTAAGTCTGTATGATTGTGGGTAAGGAGTTGTTTAAGATTGGGCGGCTGACAGTAGGCGAGGAAAGGTCTTCCTCCCAAAGCTTGGGAAAGGGAACTGTCGCCGTCTAGGAGAGGTTGCAAATCTCTGATGAGGCATTGAACTATTTTAACTTGGGAGCTGGATGTGATCGCTAGTAGAGTTCTGTTGTTTTCTCTTTGGGGTGTTTTCTCGCAGCATGCTCTCTCTGGGGATCAGTTTGGTGTTGTAGATCTGTCATTGAACTTTGAGTTCCAAAACCCCTGAATCTAGGATCTGATGTTGCTTGAAAGAAGATCAACATCCTTTTTAGAACCCAAAACTCCATGGTGGCTCTCGCTGGTGGAAGCATTAGCATTAAAACCTCACAGGAAGAGAGGAAATTGGCCGACATACAGAGAATTATTAATAGAGGTGGAGAAAGGGTTGAAGCTGAAAGAATATGAGGAACTAAAGACTACATTGCAAAGTTGGTTACATCATAGACAATTAAACCAACAGTTTAAGGAAGACAATAAGAAAGGTCTCAGCTACAGAGTGTCAAACTTACCAAAAGAGATAATTGAGAGTGATACGAAATTACTTTTAAAAAATGTATCATCTCCTGTTATATGGGGAAATGCTGGATGAAATGGTAAAGTCAGCACAAATAAAGTGGGCTCAGGATTTAGGTCACAATATACAACTTGAAGACTGAGAAAAGATGTGGAAGGTGAATTTAAAATTTACAGACTGTATTTTATTGAAAGAGAATTATATTAAAATGATGTATAGATGGTATATTACGCCAGAGAAAGTGGCAAAAAAGTATAAAAAGGGATCTAAAACCTGTTGGAAATGTAAAGAAAAATATGGTACATTTTATCATATGTGGTGGGAATGCAAAAGGGTTAGAAATTATTGGGAAATTATATATAATGAATTGAAAAAAATGTTTAAAAAGACTTTTGTTAAGAAACCAGAAGCATTCCTCCTAGGAATTTTAGATCAAGATTTAGAAAAAAAAAGGAAATTGGAAATGATTTATGTCTGCAACAACAGCGGCAAGAATTATATTAGCACAAGCTTGGAAGACAGAAGAAATACCAACGAAAGAACAATGGCAAGGGAAACTTATGGAATATGCAGAACTGGCAAAATTAACAAATAAATTACATGAAAAGGATAACAATGACTTTAAAAGAGAATGAGAACCATTTACAACATATATGAAGAGACAACATAAAGAATTGGACTCACTGGCAGGGTTTGAATAAACCAACACAATTGTGTATAACCAAAAGCAAGACTATATGCATTGGGGAAATTTTGGGAAACAACACGCAGGGTGAGTAATATGGAAATAAAACAAAATGGGAGTATGAGGGAAGTCCAGGTGAGGAGGGGGGGATATGGAAAATTGTTAGAGAAATATTGTTAGAGGATGTATACATGAAAACACCAATAAAAAATATTTTTGAAAAAGAAAAACTAATAAAAAATATTTTTGAAAAAGAAAAACTAATAAAAAATATTTTAAGAAAGAAAGAAAGACGATCAATGCCCAGAGCAATTTTAGCCAAGAATGTGAACTGTTGGGAAAACCCTGGGAGTTTGTCTGTCTCCTGTGTCCTGTCTCTTGATGGATGAGGTGGCAGCTGGCCTGATGAATGGGAGACAGGTCAAGGTTAACATAGCTGGAATGGAAGCAATGTGTTCCTTAGTGGACTAGGAAGCAAAACGGGCCGTCCCACTCTGCAAAGAGCTGCTGGGACTCACATCATGTTATATAAAACCCACACCGCTCCTTTTTCCTGTATGGGGTACCCAAGAGCACAGCATCTAGAGACCTTAAGTGGGTTCCCTATCACAGGGGTGGCCAACTCCCAAGAGACTGTGATCTACTCACAGAGTTAAAAACTGGCAGTGATCTACCCCCTTTTGGGAGGAGGAAAGCCTGTTTTTGGGGGGGGGTTCAGGTCTAAGTGGGAGACCTTTTTTTAGGGAGGAAAGTTGTTGAGGTTTTTTTTTTTTGAGGATGGAGAAAATAATAGAGGCCAACCAGAGAATATTGAGAAGCACAGCAGCTAGGCTATTGGCTATTATGTGTGACCTCCCATTCTAAAAAGACCATAAAATCAAAGAACATCCAATTGCCGTATTTTTTCGTGTATAACACGCTCCCGTGTATAAGATGCCCCCTATTTGGGGGGACTCAAATTTAAGAAAACAGGGCCCCTTTTTAAACATTTTTTTAAGTAAAAAAAAACCCCTAGTCTTATACATGGAAAAGTACAGCACCTAGGCAATGGATTCTTTGGATCCTGAACAACCAGGACTTCTTAGAAAGAGACGGAAAAGTCAACGGACAAACAAAACTGTTTGGTTTACAAGGCCGCACAGAGCTGGCCCTGGAACAGCATAGTTTGGATATTTCAAGCCCTTGTTTGGGAGAAGAGAAGGCTTGACTTGATTCCGACAACCTCCCAGGCCCCGTGCTAGATCTCAAACACCGTCTTTCAGAACGTGGGGTTTCAAATATATTTTTTCCGTGTCCAAGAGGTCCTCCTGGCTGTTTTTTTTAAAACGTTGGTTTCCTGCTCTCTGCTGTGATGGTCTCCTTGTCGAGAATCACCCAGTTAGGTGTTTATTGATCCATGTAACGTTGGGAAATGTCAATCACTTCTCCTACCTGGGCAGTTCTCTTTCCACAAGGGCCGATGTTGATGCTGAAATCCAGCACTGCCTGAACTCTGCGAGTGCAGCTTTCTCCCGATTGAAGGGCAGAGTGTTTGAGAACCGGGACATTTGAGGAAAAACCCAAATTTGCTATGGTACTACCAACCTGACTGTCTGCTTGTGAAACACAGACCACTTATCAACGCTGTCTCCAACTCCTTGAAAGATTCCATCAACGGGGTCTCCAAAAAATTTGGGAAGACACAGGCAAACTGTACTGGAAGAAGCAAAAATTGCCAGTGTCGAAGTGACGATTCTTCAACATCAACTTCTTGAATTCTGACAAGACAAAAGTATTCTGTTGGGGGGACAGTGTGTGTGTGTGTGTGTGTGTGTGTGTGTGTGTGTGACTCCCTGGTCCTGAATGGGGCAAATGTGCCCCTGAAGGACCAGCTGCACAGCCTGGGGGTCATTTTGGACCCATGGGGGCACAGGTCCATTCTGTGTCCAGGGCAGCTCCATCTGGGACACAGGATGAGACCCCACCTGCCCAGAGCAGTGCATGCTCTGGTTATCTCCCGCTTGGACTACTGCAATGCGCTACGTGGGGCTACCTTGGAAGGTGACCTGGAAACTTAAACTAATGCAAAATATGTTGGAAAAACGCTCTGGGGGAAATGGCAACCCCCCCCCCCGACCTCTGAGCGTCTCCCAGTAGGCACGTCTCTGGAATGGCATGTCCCTTCATCTCCATAGTGCCTCTCTGCGACACTTTTCATCTGAAAAGTGCACACAAGTCTTCTAGCATCACACAGCAAGAAGAAAGAAACATCCGTAGATCTAAACTACATTTTATTTAGATTCTATACAGACAATCCATAATCACGTCTGTGTTCTCCAAGCTCTGGCAGAACAACAACTGTTGCATACTGCAAAAGTGAAAGTACAGTTACAATAACATGCTCAGACGGAAGAGATAAGACAGTCTTCCATTATCACACTCTTCTCAGACATCTCATGTGATTTATATTAATCACACCAGCAGCATCGGCTGCATAAAAATTCTAACATAATGCAGCAGCCAGGCTGGTGACTGGGACCCCCGAGATGACATCCACTGGGCCCAATTCATAGCATATTAATTTTTTTTACCTTCCTGTAATAAAAAAAAAGGGGGGGAGGATTTTAGTCTTCCCAAAAGGAAACCTTCCTCCGCGGATCAACGTGAAGAGGATGTCAGCAAGGTTGAAAATTTTTCTGTAAAATAAAGGATTTGACCGGGACCACATAACACCGGTCCTGAAAGACCTACATTGGCTCCCTCCCAGGACGTTTCCAAGCACAATTCAAAGTGTTGCTGCTGACCTTGAAAGCCCTAAACAGCCCAGTAGACCTGAAGGAGCATCTCCACCCGGAGCATCTCCACCCGAGGGCCTTCTGGTGGTTCCCTCCCTGTGAGAAGCGAGGTTACAGGGAACCAGGCAGAGGGCCTTCTCGGTAGTGGCGCCCGCCCTGTGGAACGCCCTCCTGTCAGATGTCAAAGAGATAAACAACTATCTGATGTTTAGAAGACATCTGAAGGCAGCCCTCTTTAGGAAAGTTTTGAATGACTGATTGACTGATGTTTTAATGTATTTTTAACCTTCTGTTGGAAGCTGCCCAGAGTGGTTGGGGAAACCCAGCCAGATGGGTGGGGTATAAGTAATAAATTATTATTATTATTATTATTATTATTATTATTATTATTGGCTGACCTTTGCTTCCTGTTACACATTATGATAAGATCTGGACAACTAAAGGTGGACCCATGTGTGGGAATGAGTTTTATTCTTAGGCAGGCATAGGCAACCTTTGGCCCTCCAGATGTTTTGGCCTACAACTCCCATGATCCCTAGCTAACAGGACCAGTGGTCAGGGATGATGGGAATTGTAGTCCAAAATATCTGGAGGGCCAAAGGTTGCTTATGCTTGTCCCACACCATGTTCCGAGCTGCAGGTGCTTTTCCCATTTGCCGTGCACCGACCATGTGCTTCGCTGTCTCCCTCCCTGCCTCCTTTGCCCTAAATAATAACTTCTTCTTCTTCTTCTTCTTCTTCTTCTTCTTCTTCTTCTTATTCTTATTATTATTATTATTATTACAGGGCCTACCAGCTACACGGTGGGCACCATGTCAGAGCGCTTTGATTGCCACTATTGCCGGGACAACCTGCACGGGAAGAAGTATGTGCAGAAGGAAGGGCGCCACTGCTGCATCAAATGCTTCGAGAAGTTCTGCGCAAACACCTGCACCGAGTGTAAGAAACCCATCGGGGCCGATTCCAAGGTGGTTATTTTAATAGTTTGCTTGTTTGCTTAATGCAAGCATAGGCAAACTTGGCCCTCCAGAAGTTTTGGGACTACAATTCCCATCATCCCACCACTGGTCCTGTTAGCTAGGGATCATGGGAGTTGTAATCCCAAAGCATCTGGAGGGCCAAGGTTGCCTATGCCTGGCTTAATGGATATTTCTATCCCACACTTCCCCACCCCCCCTAAAGAAGTGTGGGGCTGTTTAGGGAGGCGGGAGAGGACCCGCTGTTTAATACAGGCATAGGCAAACTCGGCCCTCCAGATGTTTTGGGAGTACAATGCCCATCATCCCAAGCTAACAGGACCAGCAGTCAGGGATGATGGGCATTCTAGTCCCCAAGCAGCACACATGAAAAACTGTAAACAAATCCTTATTTCCTGATGAATAGCCTTTGGATTCTGGACACATGGTCAGCAGACCCTGTGCACCTTCCACCGGACATTCAATGGAATGGCTTTCACCCCACCAGCAACCTAACAAAGAACCAATCTATGCAATAAATACATTTTCTGTTTTGTTTTGTTTTTAAATAATATTTATTGATAATTTCAAGATTGCAAGAAGAATAAAAAATAACAAACAACACTGTAATACAAAAAAAAAGTAAAAAGAAAAAGAAGACAATAAAAAAAGAGAAAAGCACAAAATGTAAAAAAGAGAAAAAAGAGAAAAAACACAAATCCCAAATTGTATATCCATAATTTCCATTTGCTTGTTTCATTGACCTCCTCACACCTCTGTTTTTGTATTCTAGTTTAGTAATTATTTCAGCAAATTCTTTCCATCTTTCTCAATTTTTGTTCTAAAATTTATCCTAACAATTTAACCTAATAATTAACTCAACAAATCCTTACCATCTTTCCCCATATTCTATTTTTCAGATTACCTTAATTTATTTAACCTTATCTTACCCCTAAGTGCCTTAAAACTTAAATCTTAAATTTCAAATATTCATAACTCCTAATATCATTTCTGCTAGAGTCGTATAGTTTCATTCCCACATTTTCCTAATTTTCATTAGCTGATTCTAAAATAAAAAGTTTCCATTATAAATTCTCTTCCAATCATCATCCAGCGTCTCTTCTTCCTGGTCTCGGGTCATGTCAGTCCTTATTGTCCTTATTGTCCATTCCGTCTAGTCCATCAACCTGGAAGCCTTATGTCCGAGGCCCTTAAGTCTCTTTCATGTCCCTTTTGCAATTCTTCTTCATCTTGTTTATGCTTGCCCTTTTCCTTGTCTCTTGTTCTCTGTCTTAATTTCTTTCCTTTCTCGTTGAGGAGTAGGTCTCTGGGGGATGCCACCCGAAAATTGTCTCCATCACCCTTCATCCAGCTCACCCATTCCCCACAGTCCCACTCCCCACAGTCCTCGATGTAATCCAAAATGAATTTAAAATCAAATTTCAGAATCTCTCCAAAGCTAGAAGTCTCCTCATCTCCAGACTCCCCTTGGCCCACTCCAGCTTCAATCTTCAATAACAGTGGCTTATGCTCCTGTGGGACCTCGGGTCTCTCCATTTGTACTATTTGAGGTGCAGCCGCATCCTCCTCCATTGTCAACTGCACTTGCCCAGTCGGTACAGATTGATAGGTTGGTTCTTGGATGATTTCTGTATCAGTGTTATTAACCACAACAGTCAAATCCAATTTCTCAATCATCAAATCCATCTTTTCATGCATCTGTTCCAGCAGAGCATTTGTCTTGCATAGAGCAAGCAGCCAGTCTTTCTCCCAGCTCATCTTTGTTCAAGGTCGAAAAAGTCTGTTCCCATTGAAAAAGGGACACGACAAGGTTGCCCAATTTCCCCTCTTCTTTTTATTTCGGTCCTGGAGGTTTTGCTGAATATGATTAGAAGGGACCAGTTGGTTAAAGGTATACAGGTCGGAATTAAACAGTACAAATTGAGAGCATTTGCAGATGACTTAGTATTGACGTTACAGGAGCCAGAATCTAGTACTAAAAGGGTTTTAGAACTGATTCAAGAATTTGGTCAAGTGGCAGGATTTAAATTGAATAAGTCAAAAACCAAGGTTTTAGAGAAAAAATTTAACACCGATTGAAAGAGAGAGGTTTCAGAATGAGACAGGTTTAAGAGTGGTTAAGAAAGTTAAATATCTGGGGATTAACATGACAGCAAAAATGGGAACTTATTTAAAGATAACTATGAAAAATGCTGGTCTGAAGTGAAAAAAGATCTAGAAATTTGGTCAAATTTGAAGCTTTCACTGCTGGGCCGTATTGCTGCGATAAAAATGAATGTATTGCCTAGAATGTTGTTTTTGTTCCAAACTTTGCAGATTGTGGACAAAATGGATTGTTTCAAGAGGTGGCAGAAAGATATTTCTAAATTTGTCTGGCAGGGCAAGAAGCCCAGAATAAAATTTAAAATACTAACAGATGCAAAGGAAAGAGGTGGATTTGCCCTGCCAGACCTTAAACTTTATTATGAATCAGCAGCTTTTTGCTGGTTGAAAGAATGGCTACTCCTTGAAAACACTGACATTTTGGACTTGGAAGGTTTTAATAATGTATTTGGATGGCATGCATATCTATGGTATGATAAGGTCAAAGCACATAAAGCATTTAGAAACCACATTGTCAGGAAAGCGCTATTTAATGTTTGGTTAAGATATAAGGATTTGTTAGAAAACAAAACCCCAAGGTGGCTGTCACCAATGGAAGCGAAAGCCTTGAAAAAGCTCAATATGGAGGTCAAATGGCCGAAATATTGGGAAATTTTGGAACAAGACGGAGATAGATTGAAATTGCAGAGTTTTGAAAAACTAAACAACAAAGTGCGAGACTGGCTTCATTATTATCAGATAATGGAGGTATTTAAATTGGACAGGAAAATTGGCTTCCAGGTGGAAAGATCCAAATTAGAAACAGAATTGTTAGAACCCAAGACTAAGAACTTGTCAAGAATGTATAACTTGCTGCTGAAATGGAATACTCAGGATGAAACGGTAAAATCGGCTATGATTAAATGGGCACAGGACATTGGACATAACATTATGTTTGCTGACTGGGAACAGTTATGGACCACAGGTATGAAATTTACGGCATGTAATGCCTTAAGAGAGAATATTATGAAAATGATATACAGGTGGTACATAACCCCAGTCAAGCTTGCGAAAATCTATCACTTGCCCGATAACAAATGTTGGAAATGTAAAGAAACTGAAGGTACATTTTTTCACCTTTGGTGGACGTGCCCAAAGATTAAGGCTTTCTGGGAAATGATATATAATGAATTAAAAAGGTATTAAAGTATACCTTCCTAAGAAACCAGAGGCCTTTCTCCTGGGCATAGTCGGCCAAATGGTGTTAAAAAGGATAGAACTTTCTTTATGTATGCAACAACAGCAGCAAGAATACTCATCGCAAAGTATTGGAAAACACAAGAACTTCCCACGCTGGAGGAATGGCAGATGAAACTTATGGACTATATGGAATTGGCGGAAATGACTGGTAGAATCCGTGACCAGGGAGAAGAGTTGATGGAGGAAGATTGGAAGAAATTCAAAGACTATCTTCAGAAACACTGCAAAATTAAGGAATGTTAGAGTGATGTTGGACTGAAAACAAGAGCTTTCCAGCTGTACAGGTTAAAGTTAATGATAGACTAAGATTAAAGATTAAGATTAAAGATGTTTAAAGAAACGGAAATTTGATATTAAGAGGGAAAATTTTAATGGTATATGATATTAAGACCAAGGATTAGGTTTAAAGAAGTTGAAGTTATATATTTTAATATCTTATCAAATTAAAGATTGGGATTAAAAAAGTGGAAAAGAAACTGCTGGACAAATAATTTGGATTGGAATACAAAAGAGGGAGGTATGAGGAAGTCCAGAAAATAAGCAACTAAAAAACGGAAATGAAACAGAGATATTGTTTTTAATTGCTATGTTTCTTGTATTTTTATTGTTGAATCTTGCTTTTGTTTTTTTTTGTTTTTTGTGTTTTTGTTATATGTATTGTGTATGTTTTTCTTTTATTTCTTTGTTGTTTAAAACTTTAATAAAAATTACTTTAAAAAAAAAAAAAAAGTCTGTTCCCACAGTCTTAATCTCACAGATGTTGGGTCTCAAATATGCTGCAACAACAATTTAGCAAGCTCCCTCTAGAGGAGACAATCTACTTGTAACCATTTTTTTTTTTTATAAGACAAAGGAAAGTTACTTTCACTTTTCAAATATTTCAGACGTTTTTCAGATATTTAGTTTCTTTAAGATGCAAAAGGCAACATTAGAATCAACTTGTTTCTCTTCATTGGCTATCTGTCAAAATGTTACGTTCACCGTCAATGAACCTCAGCAACAGTTTCTGTCTCTGACACCCCGTTCCCAGGTTAGAGATGATGGAAACTTATCCTTCTTCACTCCCTCTCCTGCTAGAGTTAAACAGTTCAGTGGTTCTAAATGAAGGAAATTTAGTCCTTTTTTGACAGCTTCCCGGCTTTAGCTTGCAAAATTTTTGCTTTAGTCTATATACAAAGAAACGGAAGGCGGACTTCCTGTTTACACCTTCCCGCTTCATTACCAAATTAAAACAATTTCTTGATCCAATTTTCCATTTCTACCATTTCTACTCACGGGTACTTGTTTTAAATCCAATTGTCCACAGGAAAAAGTCAGCGCTCTCTGGCAATGGCTGTGCAGCTTCACTCCGTGAAAGTAGCAGTCAGTTCATAGCACCGCGCTTCTCACCCCACTTTGCTCCGGAGCCCCCAGATGGGATTCCCCATGAGTAGGGGGGCGCTTCTGGTGCCCTGCCGAACCCCACGTTCCCAGGCTTCCTCCGCCTGGGATTTCTAGCGGGTCCCCACCTTCGCCGCGGCGGGAAGACCCAGTTTTCACGGAGCCCGTTCCTCCGGTCGGAGGAGCTCCGCCATTCACCAGTGGCGCTAACCCGGAAGTCCAATAAATAAATACATTTTCTGGACACTACTATAAAAAGACAGGATGGGCACATAAACACATTTTTTTTTATATTTCTTCTTAACTTGCGCTAGCAAGTCCCTTTGCTGAGCAGAGTGCATTCCCCTTTTGAATGCACAGCGGCTGGCTTGAGGCAAGCTTCTCACACAGGAAGGGATGATCTACCGGTAGATCTGTGGCCGATCCTGGTAGATCGCCAAATCCTTATTGTGTACAAAAAGTTACTGCGGTAGGGGAGAGCTACAAAAAAACTCTGTGCAATCCTCCCCACAACACAATCTTGCCTTTAAATGGGAAACAGTGAAAATCATTGGGTGAGGACTTCCGGGGTGGCGCCATCGGTAATGGCGGATTCCCTCTGATTTGGAGGGAACCGGCTCTACGGAAATCGGGTCTGTACCGCTATGGCGCAGTGGGGACCCTTCAAAAATCACAGGCGGGTGAAGACTGTGACCGTGGGACTCGGCGGGCACCGTTTGCGCCCCCCCAATTGGCAAAGGAGCCTGGCAACGGGCTCTGGAGCGGAGCGGGGAAGTGGCGCGGTGCTGTGAGTCGTCTGCTTCTTCCGTGGAGCGAAGCCACGCAGCTGTTGCCGGAGAGCGCTGCCTTTTTCCTGGGACAATTTGGCTGTAAAACAATGATCCATGAGTAGGCTAACTTCGGAATTAAGGGAACTTTACAAATTCTATGAATAATTTGGCACCAAAGCGGAGAGGCATAAACAGGAAGTCTGCCTTCCGTTCTTGTAAATAGAGTAAAGCAATGAACTTGAAAGCGGAAGCTTTAAAAGACGCTGGTAAAGGATTATAATTCGAGCATCAAAACAGTGATTTCCCCCCCTTGACTGCAGGGGAGGAGGGGGGAGAAGATTTGAACATTATTTCCCTGCAAAAAAGAGAGAAAGAGGAGCTAAAATCCACTGCTTAAAACCCTGGGAACGGGCTGTCAAGGGACATTGATACTGCCGTATTGGGAAACGCGCTGTCAAAAGACAATGTAACTTTCTGACAGCTAGCTCTGCAAGAGGGATACTTTGACTTTGAAAAGTTCCACTGGATTTGAAACTGTTGCCATTTGTGGCTAAGGGGGGATCTTTGAAAGTTGGATAGTTATTTTATTGTTACAATTTGGAACTGCTACTGTGTCCCCCTAGAGGAACTTTGAAATTGCTACAACTGGCCAGGGAATTTTCCACTTTGAATTGGCTAGACTAAAGGGGAATTTTCCACCACAAACAAGCAAGTGTGGGACTGACCTTGACTCTTAGATAAAGTGTTATGGCAGACTCGATTCAGGAAAAAACAACAAGATCTGGCAAAATTAGACAGCAGCAGCGTAGACCATCAGTACCCAGCCTTCCGGCCCCACCAGGGGAAGGTTTAGCCCAGGTGGCCTCCAAAGGAATGGCAGCTGAAGGGGGTTTATCTTCGGCCTTAGATAAAATTTTTGAATCTTTGGAAAAGTTGAGTAAACAAGTGGCTGAAGCGACAACTAAAATTGATCAAAATACAACAAGCATTAATAACTTGGGGCAGAAGGTGAATTCAAATACAGAATCAATTGAGAAACTGCTGCAGGAATCTACTTTGAATCGAAAAACAGCTGAAGAGGCCAAGCAAAAAGCATTGGCTGTAGAGGAAAAGATAGAGGAAAAGATTCCACCGATATGCAAGCAGCTGGAGGACCATAAGTCATTGCTGTCTATGATCGAATTGAAAGAAAAACAGACAAATCTAAGGGTCAGGGCTGTACCTGAACTTGAGAAAGATAACCTGAGTGACTTTCTTACGCAGGAATTTACTGATTTTTGGGATCTAGAACCAGACAAGCCAGATTTCAAGATACTAAGTGCCTTCAGACTTGGAAGAGGGGGGAGAAAGGACAGGGTGAGAGACTGTCTGATTACCCTCTGATCAAGAGAGGAGAGAGACAGAATATTGAGTTTGCACTTCCAGAAGACCTTGGAAATAAAGGGATCAAAAGTGGAGATATTTAAGGACTTCCCTAAACATCTCTTGGATCTCAGGTCTAACTACGGAGACTTGGTGGCCCTGCTAAGAGCAAATAGAATCATCTTTAGGTGGGAATTCCCTCAAGGCCTATCCTTCACCTTTAAAGGGGAAAAGTTCAAAATAAGATCAGTGGGACAAAAAGAAACATTTCTGAAAGATCACGAAGAAGACTTACAAAAAGAAACTGGAAAAGAGCCCAGAGCTTTAAAACCAGGAATACAGGACATAGTATCACTACCTTCGGGATTGGACAAGCTAGAGAAGGTGATACCACCAACAGAACAAGAGCAACTACTTGGTGCAGTCGGAGGAAAAGCAAAATAAATACATCATGTCTCTGCAACTCTTAAGTTGGAATATCCATGGATTTAATTCCCCAGAGAAAAGGAAAAAAGTCTTTCATCTATTGAAAAAGGAACAATTGGACTTGATTTGTTTGCAGGAAACCCATGTGATAAGGCTCCACAGGAAAGTACTGATTAATAAAAGATTGGGCCAGGAGTTTATTTCATCGGATAATGTCAAAAAGAGAGGAGTTGTAATTTATGCGAAAGAGAGCCTATCGCCTAAATTTATTTTTAAAGATGATCAAGGAAGATATGTGGCAATCGAAATTCAAACACAAGGAGAAAGATTTCTGATAGTAGGAGTATATGCTCCAAATGAGGGGAAATCTGAATTTTACAAGAAGTTGCATGTGACATTGATGGACTATATGGATTACAACATTATAATGATGGGAGACATGAACGGAGTGGTATCTACAAATATGGACAAGTCTCAGAGACAGGTAGTTACCAAAGATGGCAGACTACCAAAAACCTTTTTCGAGATGACTGACAATATGGACTTGATTGACATTTGGAGAATAAAGAACCCCCTGGCTAGGGAGGGAACCTTCTTCTCTGAAGCCAAAATGACATGGACAAGAATTGACCAAATTTGGATTACTAGAGGACTGGCACCTAAGACTCGAAAAGTGGAAATTTGCCCTAAAACTTGCTCCGACCATAATGCCGTGAAAATGGAGATGAAATTAACACCTACCGGCTCCTTCAGATGGAGGATGAATGACACCTTGTTTAGAGATCAAGAAATTACCAAGAAGGCCCAGAAAACCTTGAGAGACTACTTTGAGATAAATATGAACACCACCATTGAAAAAAGAGTAATCTGGGAAGCAAGCAAAGCAGTTATGAGAGGGTTTCTAATTCAACAGAATGCAATAAAGAAGAGAACTCAAAATGAGAAAAAAGATAAAATCTTGGAAAAAATAAAAGAGGGGGAGAAGAAACTGAGAGCGAAACCCAAATCACAAGAGATTCTGTGAGAAATAAAGTTATACCAAGTTCAATATATGAAGATGATGAATCAGGAAATAGAATGGAAAATTAAACAGATGAAACAAAGGACATTTGAATCGGCTAATAAATGTGGAAAACTGTTAGCATGGCAAATGAAAAAAAGACAAAAACTTAACACCATTACCAACTTGGAAGTGGAAGGAAAGAACATCCAGAATCCAGTGGAAATTAGAAAATGCTTCCAGAGGTACTTTAAACAACTATACACACAAGGGCCACAGAAAGAGTGCGACTTAGACAAATTTTTAAAAACAAATGGGCTTCAAAAAATCTCTCAAGAAAATAAGCTAATGTTGAACTATAAAATAACAGAACAGGAGGTGGAAGGTGCCATCCAGAACATGCAGCTGGGCAAATCTCCAGGGCCAGATGGTTTAACCTCCAAATACTATAGATCTTTGAAGGACTGGATAATTCAACCATTAAAGGAGGTTTGTAACGAAATCTTAGAGGGGAAAAAAGCGCCAGAGTCATGGAAAGAAGCTTATATTACACTAATACCGAAAAATGAGACTGAAAAGACGCAACTTAAGAACTACCGCCCCATATCCCTGCTCAATGTGGATTACAAAATTTTTGCAGATATTTTGGCTAAAAGGTTAAAAAAGGTATTAGTAGAAGAGATCCATAAAGACCAAGCTGGCTTTCTCCCAGGCAGACACTTGTCAGACAACACAAGGAATATAATTGACATTTTGGAGATGCTGCAAGTAAATATTAACACTAAAGCAGTTTTAATTTTTGTTGATGCGGAGAAAGCCTTTGATAATATTTCTTGGAGCTTCATGAAGAAAAATCTTCAGGGGATGGGAGTGGGTCAAGGGTTTGAAAATGGTATAAGTGCAATATACTCAGAACAAAAAGCTAAGTTAATAGTTAATAATGTGGTAACAGAGGAATTTAAGATAGAGAAAGGGACACGACAAGGCTGCCCAATTTCCCCATTGCTTTTATTTCGGTCCTGGAGGTTTTGCTAAATATGATTAGAAGGGACCGTCTGATTAAAGGTATACAGGTCGGAGCTAAACAGTACAAATTGAAAGCTTTTGCAGATGATTTGGTATTGACGTTACAGGAGCCAGAATCTAGTACTAAAAGAGTATTAGAATTGATTCAGGAATTTGGTCATGTGGCAGGATTTAAGTTGAACAAGTTAAAAACTAAGGTGCTTGAGAAAAATCTAACACCGATCGAGAAAGAGAGGTTTCAGAAGGAGACAGGTTTAACATTGGTTAAGAAAGTTAAATACTTGGGGGTTAATATGACTGCTAAGAATTTAAACCTATTTAAAGACAATTATGAGAAATGTTGGTTAGAAGTGAAAAAGGATTTAGAGATATGGTCAAACTTGAAGCTTTCCTTGTTAGGCCGAATTGCTGTTATAAAGATGAATGTATTGCCAAGAATGTTATTTCTCTTTCAATCATTGCAAATTGTGGACAAAATGGACTGTTTCAAGAAGTGGCAGAGAGATATTTCAAAATTTGTCTGGCAGGGCAAAAAGCCTAGAATAAAATTCAAAATACTAACTGACGCAAAGGATAGAGGTGGATTTGCCCTGCCAGACCTCAGACTCTATTATGAATCAGCAGCATTCTGCTGGTTGAAAGAATGGCTGCTTCTTGAAAACACAGACATTTTGGATTTAGAAGGTTTCAACAATGTTTTTGGGTGGCATGCATATTTGTGGTATGACAAGGTTAAAGCACATAAAGCATTTAAAAACCATATTGTCAGAAAAGCATTGTTAAATGTCTGGATAAGATACAAGGACTTATTGGAAAACAAAACCCCTAGGTGGTTGTCACCGATGGAAGCAAAGGCTCAGAAAAGGCTCAATATGGAGGCCAAATGGCCGAAATATTGGGAAATCTTGGAACAAGATGGAGATAGATTGAAACTGCAGAGTTTTGAAAAACTAAAAAACAAAGTGCGAGACTGGCTTCATTATTATCAGATAATGGAGGCATACAATTTGGACAAGAAAATTGGCTTCCAGGTGGAAAAATCAAAACTAGAAACAGAACTGTTAGAACCCAAAACTAAGAATTTGTCAAGAATGTATAACTTGCTGTTGAAATGGAATACTCAGGATGAAACGGTGAAATCTGCTATGATTAAATGGGCACAAGATGTTGGACATAATATTATGTTTGCTGACTGGGAACAGTTATGGACCACAGGTATGAAGTTTACGGCATGTAATGCCCTAAGAGAGAATATTATGAAAATGATATACAGGTGGTACATGACCCCAGTCAAGCTTGCAAAAATCTACCATTTGCCCGATAATAAATGTTGGAAATGTAAAGAAACTGAAGGTACATTCTTTCACCTTTGGTGGACGTGCCCAAGGATTAAGGCTTTCTGGGAGATGATATATAATGAACTGAAAAAGGTATTTAAATATACCTTCTTGAAGAAACCAGAGGCCTTTCTCCTGGGCATAGTCGGTCAATTGGTGCCAAAGAAGGACAGAACTTTTTTTATGTATGCCACAACAGCAGCAAGAATACTTATCGCAAAGTATTGGAAGACACAAGATTTACCCACTCTGGAAGAATGGCAGATGAAAATGATGGACTACATGGAATTGGCGGAAATGACTGGCAGAATCCGAGACCAGGGAGAAGAGTCGGTGGAAGAAGATTGGAAGAAATTTAAAGACTATTTACAGAAATATTGTAAAATTAATGAATTTTAGAATGATGTTGGATTGAAGTTAAGTGGTTTCTAGCTGTAATGGTATAAAAGAATATGGAAAAATTGGATTTTCAATACGTAAAAATTTAATGCCATAATATATTAAGATTAAAGATCAGGATAAAATAAGGAGGGAAAGGAATTGCTGAACTAATAAATTGAACTGGAATACAAAAAAGGGAGGCATGAGGAGGTCCGGGAAACAAGTAAATGAAAGATATGTGATGAAAAGATGGAACTGTTTTTAATTGTGTGGGGTTTTTTTTGTATTTTGGATTTTTCTTTTCTTTATTTTTTTTTGTTCTTATCTATGTAATATTTTTTTGAAACCTCAATAAATATCTTTAAAAAAAAAAATCATCGGGTGGAGGGGAAATGTGTAGAGAAATTGGAACGGAAGCTGAATAAGCTAAGGCTGTCAGATAGATAGATAGAGAGAGAGAGAGAGAGAGAGAGAGAGAGATGATAGATGATAGATAGATAGATAGATAGATAGATAGATAGATAGATACATCAGGACCAGGGAGTCCCCCCCACCTGCCCCCCCACAACCAGACTTCTGTCTTGTCAGGATTCAACCTCAGTTCTGCTGCCTTCTCCTCCTCCCTCCTTCCAGGAACTGCATTTCAAGAACCGCTACTGGCACGAGAACTGCTTCCACTGCTTTAAGTGCTCTGTGTCTCTGGTCAATGAGCCCTTCATGCTGAAGGAGCACAACAAAGTGTGGTGCAACAAGTGCACTATGGATCAGGCCCCCCACTGCAAGGGCTGCCAGAAGCCCATCGTGGCAGGTAGGACTCGTCTCGGCTGCCTTGCAACCCTTTGCTTCTTGCGCCCCTCGATCATGGAGCATTGCCCTGGGACGGCCAGCAGGCTTACGGAACATTTCTCTTACCAAGATACTTACATAACATGAATTCATTTTTAACTTTGCGCACAAAACCAGGGCTGTCTTGAGTATGAGCACTGCTGGGATGCAAAGACCCACCCAGCGACCCCGTAATAATAATAATAATAATAATAATAATAATAATAATAATAATTATTATTATTATTATTATTATTTATTTCTACCCCGCCCATCTGGCTGATTTCCCCCAGCCACCCTGGGTGGCTCCCAATCAAGTGTAAAAAAACAATACAGCATTAACAGGGCTGCCTTCAGATGTCTTTTAAAAATAGGATAGCTGCTACTTTCCTTGACATCTGATGGGAGGGTGTTCCACAGGGTGGGCGCCAATACCGAGAAGCCCTCTGCCTGGTTCCCTGTAACCTCACTTCTCGCAATGAGGGAACCACCAGAAGTCCTTCATGGTGGAGACACTCCTTTGGGTATACAGGACTGAGGCCGTTTAGGGCTTTAAAGGTCAGCTCCAACACTTTGATTTGTGCTCAGAAACGTCCTGGGAGCCAATGCAGATCTCTCAGGACCGGTGTTATGTGGTCCTGGCAGCCTCTCCCAGTCCCCAGTGTAGATGCCGCATTCTGGATTAGTTGTAGTTTCCGGGTCACCTTCAAAGGTAGCCCCACGTAGAGTGCATTGCAGTAGTCCAAGCGGGAGATAACTAGAGCATGCACCACTCTGGCGACACAGTCTGTGGGCAGGTAGGGTCTCAGCCTGCGTACCAGATGGAGCTGGTAGACAGCTGCCCCGGACACAGAATTGACCTGCGCCTCCATGGACAGCTGCGAGTCCAAAATGACTCCCAGGCTGCGCACCTGGTCCTTCAGGGGCACAGTTACCCCATTCAGGACCAGGGAGTCCTCCACACCAGCCCACCCCCTGTCCCCCAACAACAGTACTCCTGTCTTGTCAGGATTCAACCTCAATCCATTAGCCGCCTTCCATCCTCCAACTGCCTCCAGGCACTCACACAGGACCTTCACTGCTTTCACTGGTTCCAATTTAAAAGAGAGGTAGAGCTGGGTATCATCCGCATATTGATGGACACCCAGCCCCAGCCCCCTGATGATCTCTCCCAGCGGCTGCATGTAGATGTTAAAAAGCAGAGGACAGAACCCTGAGGCACCCCACAAATGAGGGCCCTGGGATCTGAACACTCATCCCCCATCACAACTTTCTGGACAAAAGTTAGTTTAGCCCTTCACACATGCACCACTGGGGTGCAAAAACCCGCCCAGCGCCCCCAAAATTTAGTTAATTTTGCACGCACGGCACCACGGAGAATGGCAAGTGCCACCGTAGAGTCGGACAAGCGCCACCATTGTGAATGACAAGCACCACAGCTTTGGTAAATGAGCACACAAAATCGAAAGTCCTCGAGTGAAACAGTAGATCTACATTTTGGGAATACCTAGGTATAGATGTCTTTTGTTTTTCTAGCTCTGGCATAGGCAAGCTCGGCTCTCCAGATGTTTGGGGACTACAACTCCCATCATCCCTGTCCACTGGTCCTGTTAGCTAGGGATGATGGGAGTTGTAGTCCCCAAACAGCTGGAGGACCGAGTTTGCCAACACCTGTTCTAGCTTTATTAAAAATTATCGTATTTCCCCGTTTATAGGACTAGGTTCCCCCCCTAAAAAATAATGTCAAAAATGAGACGGCATCTTATACACGGATCCATCTCACCCCCCTCGTTTTCTTCAATCTGAGTCCTCCCAAATAGAGGGCATCTTATGCATGGGGCCGTCTTATAGACGGGGAAATACAGCAGCTCTTAACAAAGCCAGATGGCAAGAACCATATAATCAAAACCAGAAATCAGGTAGCTATTGTGGAAATAGGTATTCTTCATTGTCTGTTGGAATAGAGTTTTCGGTGGGTATTTAAAAGTGGAAACAGAGGGTTCCCACTGAATCTCTGGTAGCAGAATATTCTGCAATAATGGTTTGTTTCCTTTTCATTGTCAAATGAACATTCAGGCATCATTGCTTGCAGAAAGCAGAGTTGTGAACTGTTGCTCGGCTTTCTGATTCACATGGGATTTATGACCTGGAGGAGCACACAAGCATTTTTCCAACCCCACCACACAATATTCAGTGTAATATAGTCCAAGAGATTTATTATTATTATTATTAATTTTCATCATTATTTCATTTCATTCTTATGCAGAATCTGCAGTGTCAGTTATGACATTGATAAAATCCCCATTTCCTCTTTCATTCTGTTTCTGTGACTTTCCTCCGCCACAACACGAGAGTCTTTCATATATTTTGAACTTGTCATTGTATGTGTGTGTGTCAAGCTTTTTTGAGGGAGGAGGAAAGCCCCATTAAAAGGGGGCGGTTTAAAGTCACTCAGAAAAAGATCGCTATGGATCAAAACAGCAGCACAGAGAAAACTCCGTCTTCCCTTCCAGAGATCGTACAACAACGGAGGGCGGGGTGAGGGGGCATGGCAGGAGTCAGTTTCAGCAATGAGCCAGACATCAACCGCTATCTACCAAAACCTCATGGGGATCTACCAGTAGATCACAATCGACCTGTTGGACATCCCTGCCCTATCCCTATCTCCTATCCCTAACCCCTATTCCTATCTGTAACTCCTATCTATAACCCCTATCCCTATCCCCTAGTTTTTTGTGTTTTTAATATTCAATTGGGAGCTGCCCAGAGTGACTGGGGAAACCCAGCCAGATGGGCGGGGTATAAGTAATAAATTATTATTATTATTATTATTATTATTATTATTATTATTATTGCTGTCAGCTTGCCTTTCTTGAATCACAATTTTCTCAGCGCTATGAATTGCATCAATCTGGCAGCGAGCACCACCTCCTTCCCTCCCTCTCTTTGCAGGTGACCAGAATGTGGAATACAAGAAGACTGCCTGGCACAAGGAGTGCTTCACCTGCAGCCAGTGCAGGCAGGTGATTGGCACCGCCAGCTTCTTCCCCAAGGGTGATGAGATTTATTGCACCTCCTGCCATGAGCAGAAATTCGCCAAGACATGCATAAAGTGTAAGCAGGTAAGTTGGGCCGACCCCCCCCCCTCGCTTACCTGGATCCCATTCGGATCCTGGCTTTCCTCCAAAGGGCTTAGAGCTGTGTTCATTATCAAAGTTTCCTCTGCTGGTTCAGAAGGAGGAAGATGTGCCCACTCTCCTTTCGGCGCGGCCTATCTTGGTGCAGTTCTTGAACGGAGGACATATGGTGGAGATAAGGTCAGGGTCAAGGGACCCTGGATGGTTCAGTCCAGTCCAAGGCGGCGATGGGGTTGTGGCGCTCATGGGGTTAGGGATGTTGGGATACTGCCAGGGAGACAAAGGCCATCATGCCTCCACTTCGTCTCAGGACGATCCATCAATCTCCCGTAGATACAGTATCAGTCAATTAGCGACACGAGCCTCGGAAATAGCTGTCCACATCTCAGGACTCATGCACGCCCTTTTTGCAGAGTTCGCACACCGAAAGATGCACTCAGGAGAGCAGCATATTTACAGCTTTATTCATCGGTGGTCAGAACAAAGGAAAAAACATGACTGCCTGCCTGCTTGTCGAGGCACAGAGAGAGAACAAAAGCTATATACAAAACAGAGACTTCCTGTGAGCAGGAAATACGCAGGCTGTGACTCACAACAGCCTGTCCCTTTTTTAAGGTGGAACGGAAATATCCTAACAAGGGATAGGGCAGGCATGTCCAACAGGTAGATCGTGATCACTGCCAGTTTTTAACTCTGTGAGTAGATCGCAGTCTCTTGGGAGCTGGCCACCCCTGGGATAGGGGATGGGAATAGGGGTGATAGATAGGGATAGGGATAGGAATGAATAGGTGATAGGGATAGGGATAGGGATAGGGGTTAGGGGTTAGGAATAGGAATAGGGGCTAGAGATAGGAGTTAGGGATAGGGATAGGGATAGGGGATAGGGATACGGCAGGGGTCAGCAAACATTTTCAGCAGGGGACTGGTCCACTGTCCCTCAGACCTTGTGGGGGGCCGGACTAGATTTTGAGAGGGGGGAAATCAATGAATTCCTATGCCCCACAAATAACCCAGAGATATGTTTTAAATAAAAGCACACATTCTACTCATGTCAAAACACGCTGATTCCTGGACCGTCCGCCAGCCGGATTTAGAAGGCAATGGGGCCTTAGTTTGCTTACCCATAGGATAGGGGAAAGGGATAGGGCAGGCATGTCCAAAATTCCATTTTGGGGGCCTAATCTGACCAGCCGGTCAATTTAATCTGGCCCGCATGGCAGTATATGTCCTGGGGTAAAATCCAAAAAAAACCTCAGCAACTTCAATCCTAAAAAAAATTCGTGATTTAAATCATGACTGACTAGTAATTTAAATCACTAGTCAGTCAGACTTTATTTAAATCCTTTTTTTACATAAAGGTTTGACCTTGCTGGCATCCTCTTAATATTTACAAGCGAAGGAAAGTTTCCTTTTTGGAATAATAAATTTTCAGAGTAGTTTTGACAGTTAAATAAAAAATGACTGATTGGGGGGGGGCTGCTAGGGGCGCCTTGGAAGATGGCCGACAATACCATCTCTCCGGCTCACACGGGGTAATTTAGGGGCTGATTATGGGAGTACAAGATGCAGCCTCGTCCGCGGCTGCCCGTAAATCACCCCTGAGTTCGAAAGAAGGAGGGGGTGGGGCACTGGACGGAAAGCCCTCGAGTGAGCTCCGGATCTCCCTGACGCTACTTCTGAGAGCGACGCTAGTTGCATTACTTAAGATTAACGATTGGATATAAAAAGTAAATGCACATGTTTCGAGCGAAGGAAAGGATATTTTAACTGCTAATTAAGCTAGCCACTGAGAAGTTAAAAGCGACGGAAATGAACTGAACAGAAGATTACCTCTAAGAATTACAGCTATGTCGGTATGTGGAAACGGAACGGAAAGGAGGGGGAAGCTTCTTCTTTTATTTACGATACTGCCTAACAACCCCTCCCCTAGAAGAACCGTCACATGACTGATAGCAAGTGAGATTGGAAAACAACTGTGTGGAATAGACTGTGTGGAAACAAAAATATTAACTAAAGGCTTTGCTTTTTGGAAGATATGGAAAGAAAATGAAAGGCTCTCTGATGACACACTTAATCGGGATCCACAATTATGAGACCGACTAAGTTGCGAGATTGATAGTCAGAGGGGGAGGTGAGCCATTGCTTTGTTATCATGTTTGGATTGTGTCTTTGAGTCGACAAACCCTCCCCTGGAAAGACTGATTTATGGTGCAATTGGTCTGGGAAAAATAATGAGCAGACACTTAAGACTTTATTACATCGGAACAGACTAAAATGGCGCCTGCCACTCGAACAGGACTGTTGGATCAGCGTGTGGTGATTTAAGGAGAGCCTTACAAAGTTCACACAGAAATATAACAATGTTTGGTTTAACTCGCCTGTGAAAACAACTCAGAGGCTATTAAGAAGAAAAATGATAACAACAAGAAGACTGGAAGATGGGATTTGTGAATATCAAAAGCAGCAGAAATATGAGATGATTGGATCCTTACTGAGCTCGAAACATGGGAACCCCCAACAAAAAATTTAAAATTTGGCAAAATATTCGGATTATGTAATATGTATTGGTATAATGTGGAATAATTAATGTGATATGATTGGATTGTTAAATGGAAAACTTAATAAAATTATTATTTAAAAAATGACTGATTTGGTTCTACTATTAGAAATACATTGACAGATAATGATGAAATGATGATGAGTTAACTGTTTCTATTTGGACAGTTTTTCTGCTGTACTTGATTGGAAGGAGAAAAAGAATCATTTCCTTCATAACAATGTAAACAATTTATTTCACTAAAACAATAACATGATAGTATATGGATCCACGTTTGTTAACTGATGCGGTTAAACGATTTAAACAACAACAACAAACCTTAGACTGAGTTTTAGCACTTAAAAACAAATCCTGATGTATAGCTTTTGGACTATAATGTAACTTAAACAGAAAAGTATATTTAGAAAGATTTTTCCTCCCAAAAATTTTATTTTTAAAATCCCAATTTGAATTAAAAAAATAAATAAATCCCATTTAAATCAAAATAAAGACTTGGTGGGGTTTTTAAAGTCATAATTTGAAAAAATTGTAATAATAATTCATAAAGGAAACAGTTTATAAGAAGGAAATAAGGAGGCCATGCACAGCATAAAGGAAGTCTTTTATTTTGTCGTTTCTTTTATGTTATGTTCATGTCTAATGGTGGTGGATTTGTTGATTTGAGTTGTGGTGGATTTATGTTGTAAATCATGGGTAGGCAAACTAAGGACTGGGACCCAGATCCGGCCCCATTACCTTCTAAATCTGGCCCGTGGGCGGTCTGGGAATCAGTGTGTTTTTACATGAGTAGAATGTGTGCTTTGATTTGAAATGCATCTCTGGGTTATTTGTGGGGAATAGGAATTCGTTCATTTCCCCCCAAAAAATATAGTCTGGCCCCCCACAAGGTCTGAGGGACAGTGGACCGGCCCACTGCCAAAAAAGTTTTTCGACCCCTGTTGTACAGTGGTACCTTGGTTTACAACCATAATCCATTCCGGAGGTCCATTCGTAAACCAAAACAGGTTGTCACCCAAGGCGCCCTTTCGTCAATGGGGCCTCCCAAAAAATTTTGTTCGTAATCCAAAAAAGGGGTTGTCATCCAAAAAAGGTTGTGAACCGGGACACGCCCTTCCGGGTTGGACGTGTTTGTAATCCAAAACATATGCAAACCAAGACGTATGCAAACCACTGTAAATAAAATTTAAATTGAATGAAAATTTTAAATACAAATGGTTGTCAAATAAATTCAAATTTATCCCCCCCCCAAAAAAAATAATCTGATTTATTTATTTATTTTTAAATCATTGATTTTTATACACCCTGCTTTAAACAGAAGAGAGAAAGCTTCCACAGGTGACACAGGGTTTCGGGGCAGCTGGGACGAATGGTTCCCCAGGAGTCCAAGCAGCGCTTGACCTCTGACTTCCTTCCCCAGGCCATCACCTGCGGAGGGGTCGCCTACCAGGAGCAGCCATACCACTCTGAGTGCTTTGTGTGCGCCACCTGCTCCAAGAAACTGGGAGGGCAACGCTTCACAGCTGTGGAGGATCAATTCTACTGCGTCGATTGCTACAAGTCCTTTGTGGCCAAGAAATGCAGTGGTTGCAAGAACTCAATCACAGGTGGGTTAGTGATGGGTCGGGGGTGAGTGCCTGGAGGCGGTTGGAGGACGGGTGGCGGTTAACAGGTTGAGGTCGGATCCTGGCAAGGCAGAAGTCTGGTTGTGGGTGGGCCCCCTGGCCATGAACGGGGCAACTGTTCCTCTGAAGGACCAGCTCCTCAGCCTATTTTGGACTCATGGGGGTGCAGGTCCGTTCTGTGTCCAGGGCAGCTCCATCTGGGATGCAGGATGAGACCCCACCTGCCCAGAGTGGCACCTGCTCTGGTGATCTCCTGCTTGGACTACTGCAGTGGTGGTCCAACTCGGCCCTCCAGCTGTTTTGGGACCACAACGCCCACCACCCCTGACCACTGGTCCTGTTAGCTAGGGGTGATGGGAGTTGTAGTCCCAAAACAGCTGGGGGGCCAAGTTTGCCTATTCCTGAATGAAGTGACCTGTGTGCTTCCTTCTCCTTCCTTTTTAACCCTTCCCTCCCTGCTCCTCCTCTGAACCGGCAGGTTTCGGGAAAGGCACCAACGTGGTCAGCCATGAAGGCCACTCCTGGCACGACTACTGTTTCAACTGTAAGAAGTGCTCCATCCCGCTGGCCAACAAGCCCTTCGTCTTCCACAGCGAGCAAGTCTACTGCCCCACCTGCGCCAAGAAGCTGTAAGGGGAGGAGCCAGGTGCAAAGGGGGGCGTGGCCTCACCTCTTCCACAGAGGGGTTCGATCTGTGTGCTTGGAGACAACCTGCCCACTCGCCTGCCCACATTTTAAGCTTCCCCATCCCCATCCTTAAGAGGTGCCTGGCATCTCCCCCCTCCCCATCCGATACGTGATGTTCAATAAAAGCTCTGCCTTAGCATCCTACCTGCTGCTAACCTTGCTTAAAATCATTTTTTTATTTACGGAAAGGTTCAACCTCACTGGCATCCTCTTGCTTTCTCGCCATGCTCTGTGGATGCCAGCCAAAGTTTACGCTCAACCTTCGCACATCCAAATGTACTTACTGATAACCCGGGTGGATTTGATTTCAATCACGATTCAGGAAGACTGGATTTCAATCACTAGTCAGGAAGACTTGATTTAAATCAATTTTTTTAACAGAAAGATTCAACCTCGCTGGCATCCTCTTGCTTTTTTGCCATGCTTCCCGGATGTCAGCTGACATTTAGGCTGAAGCTTTGCACATCCAAATAGACCACACTTCCCTTCCCCTATTTTGGGGGGACTAAAAATTCTGTTGTTGAGCTTTTTTTAGGGGGCGTTGCCGTAAATCGCCCACCAGCCGTGGTCACCGAGGGGTCTCTGAAGCCTTGAGTCTTATATAAAACCTCATCTTCTACATGGAAAAGTACAGTACTTGCTGATAACTGAGCACATACAGCTAATTACAGGCTTTTTCCGTGTATAACATGTCCCCATGTGTAAGACACCCCTATTTTGGACTGGACTTAACTGTCGGGGTCCTTTACCTTTATCTTGGGGGACTCAAAATTAAGAAAATGGGGGGGAGATTGCCCCCGGGTATAAAACTACCCCCCCCCTTTTAACATTCTTTTTTAGTAAAAAAACAATGCTAGTCTTATACATGGAAAAGTACAGTAGGTTACTAACTTCTGAGTGAGCGGTAAGATGTGGGCTGAAATCACATGGCTGCTTTTGAAAGGGAAAATTTTTGCTCTTCTTTCTTGGGGAGCAAAAGATCGGGAAAGAGTTTGGGGCCGTTTTAAAGGATCGTTGACCAGGAACACCCGCATTTAAAAGCCTAAACAGGGCTGTCTTCAGATGTCTTTTAAAAGCAGGATAGTTGCTGATTTCCTTGACATCTGATGGGAGAGGGAGCCACCACCGAGAAGGCCCTCTGCCTGTATAACGCTGAATCTTGGCGTGGGGTGGGGCAAAATGCTTGTGTCAAAAATCCCACAAAAGCCAGGAAACAGCCGGCCTGAGCCCTTTGCAACGTTGCTTTCCACAAGCAATGATACCTTCATATTTGTTTGACAATCAAAAGCAGGGGTCGCCAAACTTTTTCAGCAGGGGGCTGGTCTACTGTCCCTCGGACCTTGTGGGGTGCCGGACTATATTTTGGGGAAAAAATAATAATGAACGAATTCCTATGCCCCACAAATAACCCAGAGATGCATTTTAAATCAAAGGGCGTATTGTACACGCTGATTCCCGGACCGTCCGGGGGCTGGATTAAGAAGGTGATTGGGCCGGATCTGGCCCCCGGGCCTTAGTTTGCCTACCCATGCCCTAGGTCAGGCACATTCGACAGGTATATTGCGATCTACTGGTAGATATTGGGGTGTTCCTGGTAGATCGCTGGCCCCTCAGTGATCTATTTCCCCCCCAAAAAGCTCATTAGCTTTGGCTTCCCCCCAAAAGCCCAAAAGCGTTGGCTTCCTAAAAAAGCTCTAGAACTTTGGCTTTCCAAAGAAAAGCTCAACAACTTTGGTTTCCTAAAGAAAGCTGAACAACTTTGCCTCTCCCAAAAAAAGCTCAGCCACTTTTGCTTCCTAGCCAAAAAGTGGGCCAACAGATTAAGTTCTGTTATTGGACTGGGGATTCAGGACCTTCCACTGTGTTTTATATAATCAACTTTTGATTATGTTCTGTGTATCTCGCAATGCTCATTCTGTTCCATTTATTCATATATTCAGTTTCATTCATTCATTCGCTGGCCTAAAAAAAAAGCTCAAACACCTTGGCTTTCCCCAAAAAGCTCCACAACTTTGATCCATCCAACGACAACGGGTGGATCACTGCCAGTTTTATTTTTACACTGGGAGTACATCACAGTCTATTGGGAGTTGGACGTCCCTGCCCTAGGTGATAGCATGTCAATATGCAGATCTGATCAGCATCACACAGACATGTCTCCAGAAAACCTGGCATTCGCAGATTAACACAACGAAACCCTCGATGCGCACAAAGGAATAAAACGCAAACGTTTGTGACATGCAATTTCCTCCACCCATTCTTACCAAGATCGCTTCCGATGAAGTGTCTCACGGGGAATTAAGGGGAGGGGGGATTACGGAAATCCACGTGTGCTTGGTTCAATACTGTATAAAAAGTAAGAAACATCTCCCGCTTGGAGTCTTCTCCTTTCCTCCTTGGCGAGACTGGCTTTGACCCTGCTGCCGCAGAAATCTTTAATAAAGGTCCAGCGTCTTCGCTGCTTTGCTTCAACTTGCCTGGGTTTGTATTCCGTTTTTTCACTCCAACCGCAGGAACCTTCGCAGGTCCCATACAGACAGAAGTCCCTTATTTTTCACCGTTCCTGGAAGCCTCGCGTGGGAACATCAAACCATTGATGGACACCAGAGACAAAGTATGACTAACTAGTAACAAGAAAAAACTCAGAATGGGTGAAAATGAGATCATAAGTATGGAGACAAGGTAAACAGGGTGATTCAGAAATGCTCAGATAAAAGTGATTACATCTGGAAGTCAGGGAGGGGGACGGGAGGAAGTCAAAGCCCAATTTGAGCAAAGATCTATGTGATGAAGAAATTTTATTTGGTTGTTACAAAACAGGCATGTCCAACAGGTAGATTGTGACTGGACGTCTACAATAGATCACTGGTAGGTCACTGGCTCCCCCCACAGAAGCTCAACAACTTTGGCCCCCCTAAAAAAGCTCAACATTTAAGCCCTGCACCCCCTTAAAAATGGCGCTTTCCTCCTCAAAGCTCAGCAACTTTGACCTGAAAGGGGGTAGATCACTGCCAGTTCAGATCACAGTCTCTTGGGTGTTCCCCCCCCCCCCCCCCCGTTATAAAGGGAAAAAGAAAAAATGTAATCAATATTATATTAAAAGAAAAAGAAAATGAGAGCATTATCCATAAGATAATACCAACCAGGCGACTGAAGAGAGAAATATAAACCTGTTGTAGAAGCCCTAAAAGGAAATTCGATAGTACATAGGTGGGAATTCCCAGAGGGCATCTCCTTCTTCTTCAAGGGGAAAAGGCAGAGGTTCACAACGCCGGAAGACGCCAAGAAATTTGGGACAAAGGCCACTTTTCAGAGAAATGCCCGACTGATTTTGATTTTGTGCCTGATTTCCAAACATTCCTGTCCCGCAAACTAGGCTGTACCATGTCTATGGAACAGAATCATGTAGAACAGGAACGTCCAACAGGTAGATCACGATCTACTGGTAGATTGCAGGGCGTTCCTGGTCAATCTCTGGCCCCTCAGGGATCTCCTCCCGCCCAAAATAAAAAAAAAGAATAAAAGAATAGAAATAGCTCAACAACCACTGCTTCCTATTATGTTCTGTGTATATCGCTATGCTAATTTGGTTTCATTCATTCATATCTTCCGTTTCATTCATTCATACCTTCCGTTTCATCCATTCATTTGCTTCCTAAAGCTGAACAACTTTGCCTTTCCCAAAAAAAGCCCTGGCTCTGGTCGAGGCCAGCCTAACCTCCCTGTGGCCCGGGATCTCCAAGATGTTTTTGTTTGAAGACTGTAAGGTCCTCCGTGGGACATACCAGCAGAAGCGGTCCCGTAGGTACGAAGGTCCTAGGCCATATAGGGCTTTAGAGGTTAAAACCAGCACCTTAAACCTGATCCTGTACTCCACCGGGAGTCAGTGCAGCTGGTATAGCACCGGGTGAATGTGGTCCCACAGCGAGGACCCCCATAAGGAGTCTCGCCATGGCATTCTGCACCCGCTGGAGTTTCTGGGTCAGTCTCAAGGGCAGCCCCACGTAGAGCGAGTTACAATAGTCAAGCCTGGAGGTGACCGTTGCGTGGATCACAGTGGCTAGGTCAGTGCGAGAGAGGTAAGGAGCCAACTGCTTAGCTTGGCAGAGATGAAAAAATGCCACCTTTGTTATAGCTGCAACCTGCGCCTCCATAGATGTCGAAGATTACACCCAAACTCTTAACGGTAATTGTGAAGAAAAACTCCACCCCATCCTCTCTCTCTATATATAAGGTTCTGGGAACTTCTGTTTCAGTGTATCTGAAGAAGTGTGCATGCACACGAAAGCTTATACCCAGAACAATCTTCTTTGGTATCTAAGGCACTGCTGGACAATTTTTTTATTTATTTCGACTGCATCAGACCAACGCAACTACCTACCTGAATCTATTATTATTATTATTATTATTATTATTATTATTATTAGACCAAGAACAGGTCAATACAAAGTCAGTTTCAAAATCTCTGCATTCCTCCCTGCCGACAGCAACAGTTTTGGATCATCTGTTAAAAACCAACCGCAGGCTGCTTTCAAATGGAAAATTTATTTAACAGTGAATATGTGTTTACATACAGCATTCAACAGGCATTGGTTTGCACAGGGGGGGAAACCAGGCATCATCATGCTTGTCCAAAGGATTGTCTCTGCCAAAACGAAAAGAGTGATCATACAAAAATACATTTGGTTTCGTTTTGACCTAAGGCACTGCTCTGAAATATTTGGGAATGGCAAAAAGGTTTGGGAGAGGGCGGAAGACGAGACGGAAAGGGGGCTGGATCTCTAGTTCTCAACTGGTATCCCAAGAAATGGGGCATCATGCCAGTATGAACATCTGCCCTGAAGCCGCTCTTTATAGAAAGAATAAATTGTTACAGTGGTACCTCAAGTTACAAACGCTTCAGGTTACAAACGCTTCAGGTTACAAACTCCGCTAACCTGGAAGAGTTAC